GAAAGAAAGAGAGAGAAAGAGAGAGAGAGAGAGAGCCGAGGGGAAAGGGACGGATATATGACGAAGGGGAGGAAGGGGGAGGAGGAGGAGAGGAGAGGAGAGGAGAGGAGAGGAGAGGAGAGGAGAGGAGAGGAGGGGAGGGGAGGAGAGGAGAGGAGAGGAGAGGAGAAACCAATGTTTGTACCGACGCGTCTCTGGTGATATCGCTGAGACAGTGGCGAACACTGGCGAAATTCACCAAGACCACAAGGCAGCGACGAGGCGGCAAGGGGCGGACTCGTGGGGAATCCTCGGGAGAACCACAAAGCGCACGAGGCGGCAGCGAGGTGGCCACGAGGCGGCTCGATGGCGGCAATGAGCTGCAACGTGGCGAATCTTCGGGAAACACACACACAGCGCACGAGGCGCCAACGAGGCGGCAACGGGCGGCAACGCGGCGAGTCCTCGGGAGACCCACCCAACCCACAAGGCGGCAACGAGGCGGCAACGGCTATGGAAACCCACCCAGCGCACGAGGCGGCAACTACGCGGCAACGAGGCGGCAATGGGCGGCAATGGGGGAGTCTCCAGGATACCCATCCGGCGCACCAACAAGCAACGATGCGGCAAAGAGGAGGCAACGAACGGCAGCGGTCGGCAACGTGGCGAATCCTCGGGAGACCCACCCAGCGCACGAGGCGGCTGCGAGGCGGCAGCGAGGCGGCAACGAAGCGGCAGCGGGGCGGCAAAGGGCGGCAACGTGGCGACTCCTCAGTAAACCCACACACCCACACAGCGCACGGGACGGCAACGAGGCGGCAACGGGCGGCGACGTAACGACTCCTCAAGAGCTCAAGAGACCCACGCAACGCACGAGGCGGCAACGGGGCAGCAACGAGGCGGCCACGAGGCGGCAACGGGCCGAATCGTCGGATGACCCATCCAAGTTCTGCATTGCGAAACGAGTGTCTTGGTAAAGCGGCAGTGGCAAATGCACGCAGACAACAGAGACGCAGGAGTAGCAATCACGCCCGGCACTGGTAAACTCAGCATTCCACAATCGGACGAGTGCCTCGTGTACTACTATGACAATACGACTACTACCACCAGTAATGCTAGGGCTGCTGCTACCGCTGCAGTGCTACACCAGACATAACGTCGCTACGCACACCCTCTGCGTGCCGACTGGCGTCGCTACGCGCGCCCTCTGCGCTGCTGAGTGGCAAGGGGAGTGGGCCACGTGGGCTGCACTCCACGAGCATCCGAAGGTCAAAGACCTGGCCAAGAAGAGCACGGACATCGTCTCCCGCGCGATGGCGGGCATGAAGGGGCAGGCGAAAGGTGGCTCCAAGGGGAAGCCACCCCATTAGGAGACACCGCACATGAGCACAGTTTCACCCAAAGTTTCACCCGCAGTCGGCACTACTGCATGTATAAACCCACATCGTTTGATTCAACACTGCATGAGCTCCGGCGCACCGCCCGCTGGCGACGGCACTGCGGACGCACCCGGGGCGAAAGTGAACGCTCGCATCGAGGCAGATTTTTTCCGAGGAGGGCGGCTATCAGTTGCCGGCGCCGGTCTGCAGCTTGGGACGTGGAACGTGGAGGGTTTCACTGAGGCCAAACTTGTCGAGCTCCAGATGCACATGAAATCATATGGGATAGATTTACTGTGTCTCCAGGAGACACACAAGCCGAAATCGGAGTACACGGTCACCGAGGAGGGCTTCCTGTTGATCTTCTCGGGGGCGCCCGCCGACGACGTCAACGAGACGGCAGGCGTGGGATTTCTGATATCACCAAGATTGCGCCGAAGCGTCGTCGGCTTCCGGCAGGCATCTTCGAGAATGGCTTCTTTAAAGCTGAGAGTTGTTGGTGGCAAGATTCTTGTGTGCAGCGCTTACGCCCCCCATAGCGGGAAGCCGCCATCGGAGAGGCAGACATTCTTTCAAGAGTTGAACACATTTCTTGGGTCATTATCCTGTCATGGGCCAGTTTTTGTATGTGGCGATTTCAACGCGAGGCTTCACGTGCGGCGCCCAGGAGAGGAAGAAGTTCTGGGCGCACACGTATTCGGCAACCGTCGTGCGCAGCATAACCCATCTTCAAATCGTTCTTTCTTGGTCGAGCTATGCACTTCTCGGGGCCTCGCTGTTGCAAACACGCTGTTCGACGAGCCGGCGGAGAGGCGGGTCACCTACTATGACATCGGTTCATCTCCGGCGGACCCCCCCACAGAGCAACATTTTGGCCAACTTGATTTCGTTCTCGTCAGCTCGGAGTGGAGAGGCTCGGTGCAACGAGTCTGGAGCGACCGCGCCGCAGCGTTGGCATCGCACCACTTCCTTGTGCAAGCCCGTGTCTTGATCGACTTCCCCCTCACAGAGCCGAGGGCCGGCAAGAAGCGGAAGGACCATTCTGTTCTGCGGGACCCGAGCGCTGCGAATTCATTTGCCGAAGCCTTTTGCGAGCAGATGGGCTCCGACAACGACGATGCTGTCGACGAGTCCGCCCAGCATTTGAATGAGCGGATGACCCAAGCATTCCTCTTCGCCGCCGACCGCGTTCGTCCTGACACGAAGCTGCTGCCCAAGAGGCCTTGGATCTCGTCGGGCACTCTTGCGCTCATCGAGAAACGCAACGCCGCTCGCGAGAGGGGGTCGCGTGAGGAAGAATGCGAGCTCGCCAGGCAAGTCCGGGCATCTGTGAAATCAGATAGGTCGCAATGGTTGGAAAGCAGCCTCGCCACAGGGGAGTGGGCGCCGATCCGGCAGCTTCGGAAAGGCGCCGCCTCGAAGCAAGGCCGGCTTGCAAACTCGAGCGGAGAAATCGTGGACTCGGACCAGCGCGCCGACACTCTGGCACAATATCTCGCCCAGGTTCAGTGGGCTGTCCGGCCGACGACAGTCGCCGAATTCACAGACAGCTTGGGTCCCACCCTACCTGTGTCGTGCGATCCCATCACCGAAGGCGAGGTGTTGGCAGCGGCTGCCAAGCTGAAGAGGGGAAAGGCAGCCGGCGCTGACGGAGTTCCAGGCGAGTTCTGGAAATCGATTTGCACTCCAGGGACCCCTGCCTGCAGGTGGGCGGTGTCTTTGTGCAGAAAGTGCTGGGAAGAACGCGTGGTCCCTGACGCTTGGCACAAGGCGCTGGTCACGGCTATCTTCAAAAAGGGCGACGTTGCAAACTGTGAAAACTATCGGCCGATTAGCTTGATTCCAATTGGGTATAAGATGTTCGCTACAATTCTTTTGAACCGTCTGAAAGCAGGCGGTGCTGAACAAAGAGTCTGGAGTACCCAGTTCGGTTTCAAGAACAAGCACGGGACAGCGGACGCGATATTTCTCGTTCGTCGTTTACTTGAACGTACGTGGGCAGAAAAAAGCGGGCGCTTAGTCTTGCTGGCTTTGGACTGGGCGAAGGCATTTGACAGTGTTTCGCCCGAGTCGTTATGCCTCTCACTGGAGCGGTTCGGCGTTCCCACCCACTTCATACGAGTCGCGCGTGCCATCTATACAGATCGTACTTTCTCTGTCCGTGACGCCAGAAAAACATCCGAAGAGCATCCGCAAGCGTTCGGCATCAATCAGGGTTGTCCGCTCTCTCCGTTCTTATTCGCAATATTGATGACCACCTTGTTGCGCGATGCAAAAAGAGAGGCAGACCCCTATCTGAATAAGAGCATGCATGTGCACGAACTTGTTTACGCAGACGACACACTTTTGCTAGCCACCTCCGGAGAATCAGCCGGGGCGTACATGCATGCCGTACAACATATGGGGCAACAGTACGGTTTACAGTTTAATTGGCGCAAGCTAGAAGCCTTGGCTGTAGGTACCGACGTATACATTCTCAAGCCGGACGGCACCCCGATCCGACAGAAGGGAAGCATAGTTTATTTAGGTAGTCTGATTAGCGACGACGGCAAGATAGGGTCAGAGTTGTCGCGCCGCCTAGGAGCTGCAGGTGCAGACTTTGACAAATTGGCTAGGGTATGGAGCCATTCGACTCTCACGCGGCAGAAGAAGATTCACATGTTTGAGTCTTGCGTTTTCAGTAAGCTGTTGTACTGCCTGCACACTTCGTATCTTAATAAGCAGGAAATGCGCCGTTTGGACGCATTCCAAGCGCGATGTTTGCGCAAGCTGTTGCGCATTCCCCATTCATACGTCAGCAGAGTCTCGAACGAATTCGTGCTTCAACGGGCCAACGTCCGCCCTCTTAGCAACACGCTCCTCCGTAGCCAGCTTCATTTTCTTGGTCACATCGCCAGAAAGCCAGGTGACGACGCTGTGCGTTGCGCAGTGCTCCAGCCCTTTTCCTCCCTCCTCCTCCCCCCTCCCACCCAGAGAAAGAGAGGGCGCCCACGAGCAACGTGGTCCCGGGAAGTTTACAGGCACGCCTGCGAAGCAGCTGGGGGTATGGAGGCCCTTCCGGCGCTGTGGCAGGACACCATTTCTTCGGCCACGGCGTGGCGTGTCGCAGTCAGCAAGTACTGCGATACCACGTGATAGTGGCTATGTGCTCATGTGCGTTTCGAACTCAGCATTTTGCTTGCCTAAAGCCAATTCAATTCACCAGCAAAGTAACCACCTTGGCATCCGCTTACCCCCCCTTATCAACTCAGCATTGCCGCGGTAATCCCACAAACGTGCGCTTCCCTTGCTAGGTCGGCGCTTGCCTTCCTCGGCGGCGTCTCCCCGGGACTCCCCTCCCCTGGCGCGCGGAGCGCGCCTAGCAGGGGGATCCAGCGAGGATCCCAGAGATCCGCGTGGACCTCCGAAAGTGGAAGAAGAACATACGGCTTAAACATGAATGTTCGACGGTCCGCGCGGACTTTTTGGATCTGCGTTGGACCCCCCTCCCTGGCGCGCGGAGCGCGCCAGGGGCGGCGCCCCAGGGGGGGGGTCACGCGCCGATCCAAGAAATCCGCGCGGAGCGCCAAAAGTGTATGTTTATGGCGTGATGGTCTGCTTCCATAGTTTGTTTCCTCTTCTTCGAGAAAGTGTTGTTTGTGCTGTTGTTTCTTCCTCGAGAGGGGGCCGATGCTCAGCCCGAACTTGCGGCGCAGCTTCTGTCGGCAGTACACAGCGCCGGCCACGAAGGCGGTGTGCGCGAGGCCGAACGGGTACAGCATCAGCGGATCCACCTGGTTCCACGCGTCCAGCCCTAGGAGCGCAAATCCGAGGGCCACGTAGAAGCTGCCGACCACAGCGACCTGGTCGCACACTGGCAGGACGGGGGCGAGGACGGGGGGGGGGGGGGAGGACAATTCAGTTGAAGGAGAGGAGGCCGAGCATCAACAATCGCTTCCACACCGACCTTTTCGTTCGTCATGGTCTCGGCCCACCGGATCGGCCAGCAAAACAGGGCGCAGGCGCACAGCTTGAAGTCCAGGTCCCACCACTCCTCCGCACTCGCAAACTTGGGGGTCCCGAAACGGTGTGGCGACACACCGTGTGGTGACCTCGGCATCCCAAACGACCTCACCGCACGGTCCCTCGTCGCATGTTTTTGGGACCCTGGATCGCCCAGCCGCGTGAAACGTCCTCCGCGAACGACCCGACTCCCAAAACCGCGCGGTGCCCCCGCATTCCCACTGACTCACTGCACCGTCTGGTCACCGCACCGTCTGAAAGCCCCCGCCCCCGACACACGCGCGCTCCAGGGCACGAGAAAACCGGCCGGCTCTCTCCCCCCGAGAGGGCGCGCACCCCGAGGACGGGGCCCCCAGCCCGGCCTGGAGCGAGGGGCGACGATAGGGGGCATCCAGTGGGTGCGGCTTGTGGGGGCCGTAGGGGCCATGGCTCTCATACGGCCATATCATCACGCGGGCTCTAAAAGCAGAGGCCCGACGAATACTTTTCGAACTCGCGAAAGAGAACACGCAAAACAAAATAAACGTACATGCCGGCAAGGCGTTCCAGCGCGGCCGAGTACATAGAGCCCTTCAGTGTTTCAAGACGAGCGTTGAGCCACGTGGAGCGGAAAGAAGGGGATAAGTTGGGAGAGGGGGACAGGGGAGTTGAGGAAGGAGCCATGGCTCCTGTGGCACCTATGGCCCATAGGGGCCATGGGACCCAAGGGGGCCATGGGATTCATAAAGCTTGTACGGCCCAGACGGCTGATTGGGAGCCTGGCTCTAAGAGGGAAACATCGACCTGGAATCGGCCATACATCGCCGAAACGTTGCTGCTTGCTTGGTCTTCGGAACATAATTCGGCTCTCGGGAGGCCGTTCGGGGCAATACGGGCACCCCCAGGCGCAGCTGTTGGAAAGCACCTCGAGGCTGAAGACCGCCGAAAGCCGACGAAAACGCCCCAAACCTGCAACCTCGAACCCGAAAACCTCGATCCCCGAACCCAAAAACCTGAAACCTCCCCCCTGAGCCAATTCCCCCTATCGTTGCTCCTGATGGTGATGGCGGACGCCCTGCCTCTCCCGGCGGAGGACCCGCTCGCAATCGGCACCCAGACCCCCCCCCCGACATCATCCCAGCATTTGAAGACGCATAGCGTAGAACTACACCGATGCTGCATCATGACGTCGTCCGCGCTCCTCCTCCTCCTCCTCCTCCTCCTCCTCCTCGTCCTCCAGACTGCCCAAGAGGCCTCGAAGACGCCCCAGGAGGCCTCCCAAAGGGCCGCAAGAGGCAACGATCAGTCACTTCCTCAGGGTTTGGGGAGATTTGGGTGATCTCGCCTTTTCGGCATCCCAACGCTCCAAAGACGGCCCAAGATCGCCCCAAGACGGCCCAACCAAGAGGCCTCCAAGAGGGCCCACAAAGGGGCCAGGAGTGCCACAAGACGGCCCACAAGGCGCCCAAAGAGGCCCCAAAGACGGCTGAAGAGGGGGCCCAAATGGGGGACCCGAACGCACACGTCGAGCCCTGGCCCCCGAGAGGCCCCCAGGAGGCCCCAAGAGGCCCCCAGCGGCCCCCAAGAGGTCCCAAAGGCCCCCAAGAGGCCCCCAAAAAGTCCCCAAGAGGCTCCTAATACACCACATAGACTGCACAACATCGGTTGCACCACATAGGTTTTGTACAACATCGATTGCACCACATGGATTGCACCACAAAGATTGCACCACATGGATTGCACTACGTATATTGCTCCACATCGATTGTGCATCATATATCACACAGCATATATAGCATCACATAGATCGCATCACGTCGAAGGCACCACATAGGTGGCACAATATATATATATATATATATATATATTGCACCACATAGTTCGCACCACATAAATTGAACCACATAGATTGCACAACTTAGAGTGATCAGCATGGATCGCACTTCATGGAGTGCTCAACATATCTTGCACAACGTAGATTGCACAACGAATCGTACGCTACATAGATTTCACCTTGTAGGTTGCACAGCATGTATTGCAACACATGTATTGCACGACATGGATTGGACAATCGCGTAGATGGCACCACATCGATTGCATCACATATATTCTCCTTTATAACAAGAGAATAGTCTACCCCCCCCCCCCCCCCAGACTTATTGGTTCCCCCTGGGATAATATGACTTCATATATATATATCCTGCACACTCGTCCATCCAAAATATAAACTCGTAGCATCCCAGCTAGACCAGGTTCCCCCCCCCTGAGGTTCCCTTGTGAAGAAAAACATATGCGGTGACATCTTTTGTTCCAACATAACGCTTTGTTTTCACGAATCCCTTGCAAAACATTTAGCCTGACGAACGACCCAACCATACGTAGTTGTGAATACCGCAATTGTGGATATACTTCTCGGTGGCGCCCTCGGGCCACGAAACGAGTGAGGGGTGTGCCGAAATGGGGGGTGGAACCGCATGCGAGCGCAGCCACTGGGGCGTTCGGTGGAGTTCCCTATGGGGCCACGAAACGTGTGAGGGGTGTGCGAGAATGGGGGGTGGAACCGCGTGCGAACGCAACCACTAGGGCGATCGGTGAAGCTCCCTGTGGGGCCACGAAACGTGTGAGGGGTGTGCCAGAATGGGGGGTGGAACCGCATGCGGGCGCAGCCACTGGGGCCTTCGGTGGAGCTCCCTATGGGGCCACGAAACGTGTGAGGGGTGTGCCAGAATGGGGGGTGGAACCGCATGCGGGCGCAGCCACTGGGGCCTTCGGTGGAGCTCCCTATGGGGCTTCGGTGGAGCTCCCTAGGGGGCCACGAAACGTGTGAGGGGTGTGCCAGGATGGGGGGTGGAACCGCATGCGGGCGCAGCCACTGGGGCCTTCGGTGGAGCTCCCTATGGGGCCACGAAACGTGTGAGGGGTGTGCCAGAATGGGGGGTGGAACCGCATGCGGGCGCAGCCACTGGGGCCTTCGGTGGAGCTCCCTATGGGGCCACGAAACGTGTGAGGGGTGTGCCAAATGGGGGGTGGAACCGCATGCGGGCGCAGCCACTGGGGCTTCGGTGGAGCTCCTATGTGGCACGGTGGAACCGAACCATGCGGGCGCAGCCACTGGGGCCTTCGGTGGAGCTCCCTATGGAGCTTCGGTGGGGCTCCTATGGGCCACGAAACGTGTGAGGGGTGTGCCAGAATGGGGGGTGGAACCGCATGCGGGCGCAGCCACTGGGGCCTTCGGTGGAGCTCCCTATGGGGCCACGAAACGTGTGAGGGGTGTGCCGGAATGGTGGGTGGAACCGCATGCGGGCGCAGCCACTGGGGCCTTCGGTGGAGCTCCCTATGGGGCCACGAAACGTGTGAGGGGTGTGCCAGAATGGGGGGTGGAACCGCATGCGGGCGCAGCCACTGGGGCCTTCGGTGGAGCTCCCTATGGGGCCACGAAACGTGTGAGGGGTGTGCCAGAATGGGTGTGGGAGGGGGAGGAGGGGGGAGGAAGGGGAGGAGGAGGAGGGAGGAGGAGGAACGCGGGGCGACGTCTCTTCGAAACGAAGACCCAACACCACAGGATGGTTGGGAAAAATTAGCCTGACGAAAAACCAAACCATACGTAGTTGTGAACACAGCAAATGTGGATATATTCCTCGGTGGCGCCCCCGGGCCACGAAACGAGTGAGGGGTGTGCCGAAATGGGGGGGTGGAACCGCATGCGAGCGCAGCCACTGGGGCGTGCGGTGGAGCTCCCTATGGGGCCACGGAACGTGTGAGGGGTGTGCGAGAATGAGGGGTGGAACCGCATGCGGGCGCAGCCACTGGGGCCTTCGGAGGAGTTCCCTATGGGGCCACGAAACGTGTGATGGGGTGTGCCAGAATGGGGGGTGGAACCGCATGCGGGCGCAGCCACTGGGGCCTTCGGTGGAGCTCCCTATGGGGCCACGAAACGTGTGAGGGGTGTGCCCGCATGGGCGAGCCACTGGGGCCTTCGGTGAGCTCCCTATGGGCCACGAAGCGTGTGAGGGGTGTGCCAGAATGGGGGGTGGAACCGCATGCGGGCGCAGCCACTGGGGCCTTCGGTGGAAAGCTCCCTATGGGGCCACGAAACGTGTGAGGGGTGTGCCAGAATGGGGGGTGGAACCGCATGCGGGCGGAGCCACTGGGGCCTTCGGTGGAGCTCCCTATGGGGCCACGAAGCGTGTGAGGGGTGTGCCGAAATGGGTGGTGGGGAGGCATGCGAACGCAGCCACTGGGGCCTTCGGTGGAGCTCCCTATGGGGCCACGAAACGTGTGAGGGGTGTGCCAGAATGGGGGGTGGAACCGCACGCGGGCGCAGCCACTGGGGCCTTCGGTGGAGCTCCCTATGGGGCCACGAAACGTGTGAGGGGTGTGCCAGACTGGGGGGTGGAACCGCATGCGGGCGCAGCCACTGGGGCCTTCGGTGGAGCTCCCTATGGGGCCACGAAACGTGTGAGGGGGTGTGCCAGAATGGGGGGTGGAACCGCATGCGGGCGCAGCCATTGGGGCCTTCGGTGGAGCTATGGTGGCCCGAAAGTGTGAGGGGTGTGCCAGAATGGGGGGTGAACCGCATGCGGGCGCAGCCATGGGGCCTTCGGTGGAGCCTCCTATGGGGCCACGAAACGTGTGAGGGGTGTGCCAGAATGGGTGTGGGAGGGGGAGGAGGGGGGAGGAAGGGGAGGAGGAGGAAGGAGGAGGAGGAACGCGGGGCGACGTCTCTTCAAAACGATGACCCAACACCACAGGATGGTTGGGAAAAACGAAGTGCACACGCGCGCGGAGTCGCGCGCGCAAGCCGAAATCCTTCAAAAACCTTCGGTGCGGGACGGATTTCGCAATCGAGTTTCCAAAAAAACATACAAAAACACAGGGTTTCGCAACACAGATTTGCTAAAACAGCTTCCGCGGAAGCTCTTGCGAAATCTTAAGAAAACAATAGGTTTTTCAAGATTTTCACAAAATGCTACCGAACGG